CTTTACAGTGTGTTCTGTGAAGCGCTTTGGGACTTCCTCGTGACGTGAAAAGCGCTATATCAAATGCAAGGATTATTATTATTATATAGTTAAACTGCACTAGGAAAATTACAGGCACTCTCATGGCATCTCAGTCATACACCTGTTTGCTAATAGCACTTGTAGCCCACTCAATCCATGACTGTTTGTGGGACACTGCTGTTCGCAATTGTCCCCCGCGTTTCACCCACAAAATATACAGTCAATTCACTTTACTGCTTATGCTGTGAAGCGCTTTGAGACATCTAGAAGATTTGATAAGGCGCTATATCAAATGCAAGTATGATTGTTATTATTCGGTATACTGTGGGCCTGCACCAGACCAAGAAGTATGGTACACCCAATCTCTGGCACTATCTAGCCGACTGCCCACCCTATTAAATAACTGCTTTTGGGATTGTCATGTTACCTCTGAAGTCACTTCCTCCACTCAGTACATGCCTGCTGTATTCACAGAGGTTGCATATGCTCCCCCTCGGTGACATCATCCGCAGACATGGAGTTAACTTCCACATGTATGTGGATGACACCCAACTCTACCTTTCCTCCTCTACTCTCAACTCCACGACCACCGATGTCCTGACAGTCTGCCTGTCCGACATCGAGTCCTGGACGAGAGACAACTTTCTTCAGCTCAACGTGCGAAAAACCGAGGCCCTCCTGATTGGCTCACGTCAGCGCCTCCGCACCTCAGGCGCTGACACCATCAGCATCCAAGGCTGCACTCTCCACCTCTCAAAGCCGGTCAGGAACCTCGGCGTTTTGTTCGACCCTGAGCTGTCCTTTCTCCCTCACATCCGCACCACAACTGGCACCGCCTTCCATCACCTCCGGAATGTCGCCAGACTACGGCACTACCTCACCCCTCACGCTGCTGAAACCCTGGTCCACGCCTTTGTCACCTCAAGGCTGGACTATGGGAACTCTCTCCTCGCCGGCCTTCCCGCCACCTCCCTCCACAAGCTGCAGGTCATTCAGAACTCTGCAGCTCGTGTACTGTCCCGCACCAGGCTTCGGGACCACATCACTCCCACCCTCACTCGCCTCCACTGGCTCCCCATCCCCCAGAGGATCGAATTCAAGATCCTCATCCTCACCTACAAGGCCATTCACGGCCTTGCTCCCTCCTACCTCTCCAACCTACTATCCCCCTACCTACCTGCCCATACCCTCCGTTCCTCTGGCTCCGGTCTGCTCCACGTCCCCCGCCCCAACCGCCCTACCATCGGTGGTCGGGCCTTCAGCCTCTCAGCCCCGAGGCTCTGGAACTCCATCCCCCAGTGCCTTCGCTGCTTCCTCCCTTTCCTCCTTCAAGGCCGGTCTCAAAACCTTTCTCTTTGACCGTGCCTTCAGCTCCCCTCTCGACTCTCTTCCCCCTCCTCGCTCCCTCCCTTCCCTCCCCTCACCCTGACCATTTCCCCCCTCCTCGCTCCCTCCCTTCCCTCCCCTCACCCTGACCATTTCCCCCCTGCTCGGGTCATGACCCAACTGTGCAGCGCCTTGGGACGTCCTCCTGACGTGAAAGGGCTTTATAAATGGAATCTTGTTGTTGTTGTAAAGCTCTATTAGTATGGTGCTCCACAACACTAGGATAAACATCAGTAGCATAGAGGTTCATGACAGCAATTTTTCATACAGCAGATGCTTGACCTTGATTTGTGTAAGAAGGGTTCAATTGGAGGTTAGATACCATTTCTTTAAAGCTTCACAGTTGTAAGCGATCAATATTCTATTTTTATCTCAATTCGGTTGATTCCGATCTTGACTGTGACCAGCTATGCTTAAGGTGGGCACCCAGGAATTCAGGTAGTTGTCTTGATGTTCTAAACACCCTGGATATCGGATCCACTACAACTGTACAATTTATACTTGTATATAATGCCTTTCACTTCAGGAGTACATCCCAAAGTGGACCTGTGCTCAACTGAAAGAGAGGTTCATTTTGAGGTGTACCTTGATAGAGGGAGGCAGCAAGTTGGAAGGACCTGGCAATTGATTTCCAGAGGCAAAGGCTGAAAGCCTGTCCTCCAATGAAGCAAATAGGGCAGAGGATACAGAGTAGGTCGGTGTTAGCCGAGCGAAGAGAACAGGTGAGTTGGTATGGGTGAAGGAGGTTGCAGAGGAAGGATGAGTGAAACCATGGAGTGAGTTACATGTGAGAATGAGAATCTTGAACTCGTTCTACTGGGGAACGAGGAGATAATGGAGCTGAGCTAGGATTGAAAAGTTAATTTAAAAAACTATCCATAGTAAGTTAGAATGTCAATTTTGACTTGAAACAATTGCAGTGTAAAGTAAGGGCATTAGCCATTGAACCACTGGGCAAGTCCCACATCATTCTCAATGTCTAAATTAATGAAACTGGGATAAAAATAGAATGTTTGTCCTTTAGGGAGAGATCTAAGGAAATAGTATCCAACCTACAATTATGCCTTTTGACAGCACAAACAAAGATCAACCATTTGCAGTACAGAAAATTGCTGCCATGAACCTCTGCCCTATTCCACTGTGTGCTGGGGCAGCAACAGAGACAGAACTTACAAAAAGCAACCACTGCTGAACACAAACCAAACACACTTGCTTCACAATTCTTATTTCACGTCAATAAAACATCAGTTTAGATAGGTAGCCTGTGGACCAGTGGAGTGATAGGATGCTGTTCTGTTTCACAATTCTTCACAAAAGGCATCCGTGTCAGATGGAATACATTTAAAAAGTGGTTATTGAGAGCAAGACCTTAACATTTCAAAGAGAACTGGAAAAACAATTGAAGAGTCAGAACACTAAAGAAGGAAAGAGTAGGGAAGTGGAATTACAGAAGTTAACTCTAACAGTCAAGTTATCCGCATTTTAGAGTTAATTGATTGGGGGCCTGCGTATAGTAAATTCAACCTAACCAGGATCACAAAAACTCAAGATTGAGCACTTGACACTTGGTTCAAGAAGCAAATGTAGGAATAACGCAGTCGGAGTGTAATAACATTAGCAGTGACAGTTATGGCTGACAAACAAACATATCTAAGTTTAAGGAGAGCAATGCAATTTTAAAGCAGTGCTTATCGAATAGTACAATTATTCTATCTCCAGCAATATAACTAATCCTAAATTAAAGTTGCCCATCCAGTATAGTCAAAACAATAAGGTATTTAACACTCTCAATAGGCAAAGTGCAATAATTTATTGTTAGAAAAATCTTTTTAAAAAAATACTCGGTGATATCACTGACTGCCACTCAATATCCAATCACATCCTGTCAGGACTTGAACTAAACAATTATTTTTAATGTTTCAAGTGCCATTTTAATGTTTCATGAATTTACTGAGCTTGAAAGCTAGCTAAAGGTTGTTTATTTAATTGCAAATCATATTTTGTATTAGGCATTATTTCTCAATTTCACAGACAATGATATTCAGCAAATGCCAAGAATTTTGCTTTGATCTCTCCTTTCAATTTTATACACACTGGAGTGAAATGTAATATTTATAAAGCTTTTTTTTCCTTTACAAACTACTCAGATTGTCTTACAATGAAGTATGATGCAAGGCACACCAACTGCAGCCAGCTATCTAGTCATATAGCTGTCCTAATGCAATCAAAAGATGAATTAGATTTTCAGTTGCATGACAACCATATAACAAATGTATGATGACAAATACCTCATAACAGAACGGAAATGATTTTCCACTCTTTCATCTTGGCTCTTTGGACAAATAAAGCCATTTTACAGAAATTATTGATGAAACAAACTGGATATGAAGTTTTTACTTATTAAGATTAATACATAAAGAACCAACACAGACACGATAGACTAATGCACTCCTTCAGTGCTCTACGATTCTCTTATTCGAATGTATTCTGAATATGCTGCCGCATGTGAAGGGTGCTATCTAAATGCAAGTTATTATTGCATAAAAGCATAGAAATCTACAGTGGAGAAAGAAGAAATTTGGCCCAACGAGCCTGCACCAGGTACAGAGCAAGGAGATAGCTTCAATCCCACTGTGCTGCCTTATCCCCATACCTCTTCAAGCCCCTCGCTATCAAATGTCTGTCTACTTTCCTCTTGAAAGCTATGATGGACTCAGCCTCCTCTACCCTACTCAGCAGGGCATTCCATATCCCAATTACTCTCTGGGTGAAAGAATTCCTCCCAAATTCTTTTACTCTTCTTACTGACATCTTATAATTACATCTCTTAGTAAATGACTCCCCTACCAATGGAAATAATTTCTTTCTATTTACCTTAACAAAACCCCTCATGATTTTGTACACCTCAATCAGGACCCCTGTGAACTTTCCCTGCTCTACTAAAAAGCAGGCCCAGCTTCTCCAATCTATCCTCATAATTGTAATCCTTCACCCCCTCGAAAACTCCTCTGCACCTCCTCCAAAGCCCTAACATCCTTCCTGAAGTGAGGTGCCCAGAACTAGATGCAATACACCAGTTGTGTCCTAATCAATGATTTATACAAACAGCATAAATTCTTTTGTATTCTATGCCTCTGTGTATAAAACCCAGCATACAATTAGCCCTCTTCACAGCCATTTGTGATGGCATTTTCAATGGCTTATGTACCTGCACTCCCAAATCCCATTGTTCCTCAGTTCCCTGTGAGTTATTGATTCTATTTCCTGCTTAATTTTCACTGTAGTTTGTGTACATTGGAGTTTTTTCCCCAACTTTATATTTAAATGCTTCCTTGTAACTTAATTGCCCCTGAACGTCATAAAGAAAATGCAAATCATCATTTACTTGGACACTAATAAAAAGTTGAGAATCACAGAATCATGCTAACAGCGCAGGAGGCCATTTGGCTCATCACAGCTGTGCTGACGCTAACTCACTCCTCCACTTGGTTCCACTTTCCTCAAACCTAAAGATATTAAATTCTTCACCGTATACTAATCCAGGTAAAGATATCCCTGCCCACCCCCACTCCATTTGTGACTACAATCCATACCTTGTGTAAGTAGCTGTAAGTTTCGAACTTCTTCTCGGACCCTCAGGTGCAAGACTTGCTGCAGGACATGTTGCCGCTGAGTCTCTAGAACGATACCCATTCGTTCCAGCTTCTTGTCAGTCAATCTCAAAAGTGCCCGACCTAAAAGGGCAATGGTACAAAAAGACATATGTTTTTTTATAAATTGGTCCAAGTATGCCAATGAAAATACATTCATACTACATGAGGTGGGAGGGTCAACCTAATTAGTTATAGAATTTTTTTGACCCCAAGAAATGCATTCACTATGAATTTCCAACATACAAAATTATTCAAGGAATGAGGTTGTTGTGAACCTTTTTTTGGTAGTGGGGGGGGGGGGGGGGGGGGGTGGGGGGAGAATAAATATTGTCTCAGGGCTCCTCAAAGCATATTGGCAGTCCAAAAAAATATATTTCTTTCAGATCCAAACCAAGGCTTTCTTGACCACTAATATCTAATCTCTGAGAGAACACATTAGGACTTCATCTCGTTCCTTTCTAGCTGCAGCGATTGTAAATACACGAGGTGGGAACTAAGGGTAATTACTGTCAAATACAATGAATGTTGCTGCAATCAAATATGGCAGCCAGATGTGCCAAAAAGGTCTAGAGATGGTTTGTCTTAGATTATCATAGAATCATAGAATTATACAATTATACATCACAGAAGGAGGCCATTCAACCCATTGTGTCTGATAGCTCTTTGAAAAGAGCTATCCAAATCAATCCCACTCCCCAGCTCTCTCCCCATAGCCCTGCAAACTTGTCCTCTCCAAATAATTATCTACATCTCTGTTAAAAGTTGTTATCGAATCAGCTTCCACTCTTTCAGCCAATGCATTCCACATCTTGCTGTGTGAAAAAATTTCTCGGCAACTATTTTAATTCAGTGTCCTCGGGTTACCGACCCATCCTCCAGTGGAAATAGTTTATCCTTGTTCAGCCTATCGAATCCCCTCATAATTTTGAAAACTTCTATTAATTCTCCTCTTAACCTCCTCTGCTCCAAGGAGAATAATCCTAGCTTCTCTAGCCTCTCCTGATAACTGAAGTCCCTCATTCCTGGTACCATCCTGGTAAATCTCCTTTGCACCCTCTCCAATGCCTTGACATCCTTCCTAAAGTGTGGGGACCAGAACTGAACACAGTCTCCAGCTGAGGCCGAACCAGTGGTTTATAAAGGTTCATCATAACTTCCTGACTTTTGTATCCTATGCGCCTATTTATAAAGCCTTGTATCCCATCTGTTTTTTTAACAGCTGTATCTACCTGTTCTGCCACCTTCAAAGATTTACTTATATGAGCCCTCAGGTCTCTCTGTTCCTTCACCCCCTTTAAGATTCTGCCATATGGCCTCTCCTCAATCTTCCTCCCAAAATGCATCACTTTGCATTTCTCTGCATTAAATTTTATCTGCCACGTCTCTGCCCATTTTACCAGTCGGTCTAAGTCTTCTTGCAATCTGCTACTATCCTCCTCACCGTTTGCTACTTTTCTTAGCTTAGTATCATCTGCAAACTTGGAAATCGTACTCCCTATACCCAAGTCCGGGTCATTTATATGGATCAAAAACAGCAGTGGTCCCAATACCGACCCCTGGAGGACACCACTGCACTTCCTCCAGTCAGAAAAACAACAGTTCACCATCACTCTCTACTTTCTCTCTCCCAGTCGGGTCTGTATCCATGCTGCCACCGTCCCTTTCTCCCTTGGGCTTCTATTTTGCTTACAAGTCTCTTATGTGGCACTTTATCAAACTTCTTTCAAAAATCCATATAAACTATATCAACTGCACTACCTTCTTCCACACTCTCTTCATCAACAAACTCTATCAGGTTTGTTAGTCATGATTTACCATTAATAAATCCATGTTGGCTGTCCTTTATTAACCCAGATTTTTCTAAGTGAAAATTTATTTTGTCTCGGATTATAGTCTCTAGAAGTTTATTTTGTCCCGGATTATAGTCTCTAGTAGACCTCAAGTCTCGATGTTGGGTTTGAACCCATAATCTTATGACCTTTATACTTTTCCAACTAGTTACTGCCGGAATAAATGACTTGATTATTAAACCAAAACTGTACTAGTGTGGGTATTGTTCAAAGCTAATCGGCTTTATTTGAATTGCTGCCTTCATGAATCGTAACAATGCTGACTTTTTATTTTGCCTTTCGGCAATTTTTTTGACTACATTTGTTTGTTTCATAGGAAGATCGATAGTCAAATAATAAATGAATGAAAACAAACAAGCGTCGCTGTAAATAAAAATCTTCATTAGCAGAGATATATATTAAGTGTTTTGAAGAGTAACCTTTCAATGAGCTACTAGAACCAGAAACCTTGTGCAAGGCAAACAAGATTGATTACTGCGCAAAAGATCTAAATGCAAGTGCGCTGCACTTTATATCTCACAACGCTTCTTCAGCTTCCAGGAAACATTTCAATGTGTACCAGTTTGCAAAAGGAACTGTTTGTCAGGAAACCACTTGCCATTTGTTATGCAGACAATGCGTTGGGGGAATCTGAGGGGATTGCTATTGTAAAGGGCAGACATATCGTCATCTATCTCTGGTCACGAGTTTTGCTGGTCAGACTTTTTAATTTTACACTCTAATGACATAGAAATCACAGTTAGCAGTTTTGCAAATATTGCAAATTACATGTAAGAAACAATTAGCTTCTCCCAGTGGCTGTTTGGGCAAAGTATCAGAGGATGGTTAAAGGCCATGGAACCATATCACAGGAAGAAACAGCATTCTGATGAGTCTACAAGTTAATAGGAGAGTGAACACATTTTAAAAGTAAAATTTTACTTTCCAAGAAATGTCACTTTTCTTTACGATTCCCTAGGTTTTATAAAACGCTACAGGGAATCTTGGCATGATCCAGCTCAATGTATATTAAGATGAATAAATAATATACACTTGATACAACATCTTTCACATCGGGATTTTTCTGTGAAGTTACTGTGCAATCGTTGGCAAATGTGGCAGCCAATTTGCACACAACAATGTCCACCTGAAATTCATCGATTTACTGCTCAGTCCTCACATCCCAGTGGCCAAGCCTTCATCAACAATGCATAACTCTGTCCTCTAGAGCTCACTTCCAAATCTCTTTGACTTTGCTTTCTCTTTCGCAGTATTCAAGAGCCTCTTAAAAACACGTCCGTTTGACTGTCAGCTGTGAAGCCCTGTGCGACGTCCTCCCAACATGAAAGGAGCTATATAAATGTAACTTGCTGTAAAAATAAACTATACTCTTGTATAGTTGGGGTGGAAAGAGGGAAGTGATTGGATACTTTGAAAAGAAAGCACCTGTATTTCCTTTAGATTTGGTTTCCCCCTTAAGGTCCTCTATCACAAGCAAGGCATCAATAGCTCTCCATGCCCCTTTGTTCCACTGAAGGAAGAGTAATTGATCTTGAAGATATATCCACATTAGAACAGGTTGTTTTAGATTTCTAGAGTAGATAGGTTATAGATTACATGCTCTGTTGCTCTGAAGATTACATGCGACATGCTCTATTACTCTGAAGCCAGTTATATTACAGGAATAGCATTTGTATTCAAAGCAGATATGCAAGGTTTTACTATGTAAAGGTAGTCAATTGTCATAGATTCTAGGACAGGGTAAAGTGAAGATTGCTTTGGCTGCAGAGGCAGAAGCTTGCTTGCAATTAGACTGAATCTGAACACATCTCTTTGACCCCAGCAGTAGTTTTATTTGTTTTTATATGAGTGATGTAAGAAAATGTGGCTTTGAAAAAGAAATGTACAAGCCTCACTTATTCACTCACAATTTCAGTATTTTATAAACTTAAATACTGTATTTCAGCAGCAAACACCGCCAGGTGTACCATGGCTGAATACAGCATAATACTTCTATTCTACCTGCACAAAATGCCATAATACCAATCTGAAAAGAATACTCTCTACTGAATAATAAATTAGTCATTCACTTCATGGCTGTTTGTGGAACAATTATGTGTGTAACTGGCTTTCACATTTGTCATATCTATAACTCCTCATCCCTGTATACTACATGTACCTGTTTACTACTACATCTTCTCCCACAAAATACACTCAATTCACTTTACAATATATCCCAATGACGTGATAAGGCGCTATATCAAATGCAAGGATTATTATTAAGTGGACCTCCACTGTATCCTTTCAATTCTCTGTAATTAACCCAATATTTCAAATGCAGGTTAGACAATATCTTGTGTAAATTCAACACAAATGAATACTACTTTTGTATTCAATGTAGAAACCCCAGAATCCCATTTGACTTTGTTACAGCTTTCAGAGATGGATTTTCAACTTTTTACTCATTGTTAATAAAAAGTACAGAATGTCAACTAAAATTTGTATTCAACAACCTGCTAAGATTGTTCTCATCATTTTAGGACACACAAGCTCAAAAAAGATTTGATGCAAGAGCCAGCTATAAATCAGAAAATATATTGAAAGATAGTACCTTCCCTCCAGTAACTCTTCCGGGAGAAACATTAAACTTATTTCCACATTTTCCTTTCCTTGTACTGTAACTCAGTGGTTAGAGCACTCGCTGTATTCAATACAAGTGAGAGACCTGAGTTCAATTCCAGGCAGAGGGCGAAACCTTGGGCAAGTTTCCTTACTCCACACAGAGCCTAACAATAATTCCTCCAAAAAAAAAAAAAAAAATTGGTCATTTTCAATCTACGACTGTTTGTGGGACATTGCTGTGCACAATTGGCTGCCGCGTTCGCCCACAAATATAGTCAATTCAGTTTACAGTGTGTTCTGTGAAGCGCTTTGGGACGTCCTCCCGACGTGAAAAGCGATATATCAAATGCAAGGATTATTATTATTAGAGAGGGAGTGGTTAGCTTGATTGTGATTGCTACAGCTCTGAGATCAATTTACTTGACTTCTGGTTTCTTGACTGCTGTGAATACCAAAACCAGGGAGCCAAGAAATGTAGCAAAATAATTTTGATGGAAAGTAAAGTTAGACAACTAGTGAGCATATGTACAAAAGACTAATTCTTTAAATAAACTCTCTTGAATATGTATATGTAATTTAATTAATATTTAGATTTAATGTCACCAATCTGTTCAGTTGAGGACAAGTAAAGCTGTAGGTTAAGTAATGAGTGACAAGTGAATGTTGATCTCTTGAGCACTACATTCAATCAATTACTCTTACTCTTTCACCATTATGTGAATGACCATGTAAATGTACCTAAATATTTAAAATCTGAGTGTACTTTGATGGCTTGTATTATTCAATTCATCAATCAAATAATTGCTTGCTGTTTTATCACACACTTGCTTACTCTGAAGTGGTTTCTGTCAGTCGTATCACTGCATATCAAGGAAACTAATGTATTGTTCTCAGGTAGAAAGGCCCCAGATTATAGAAAACTTGACATTAAATTAACAGATCTTCGTAGAAACATGTTCTTCATATTAAATGTGTCTGACAAAGTCAGATTCAGGAGCTACTGAAACAAATCCAAGCTATTTTTAACAAATATTTTCCACTTGTGGACTGTCAGTTTTGGATCTTAAATTGATGCTATTTCAAGAGTGTGTGTATAAAGAGATCAGGTTTTTAAAATCCATTTAAGGCTCCAGTTTCAGCATTGTAAAGTACTAAGCAATTCAGTCGAGACCTTTGGTAATTATATAGTGTTCGTAAATTATCAATGCTCCAGCACTATTTATATTTTAAAAATTGTATCAAAATGATCTTGACCTGAATGATGAAATTGGCATTCGTATAACACAGTGTCCTGTAATTAAATTGCCCTTCCCCATACTTTATTTTTAGTCTGGGTTAAAGTATAAAATATTGCACTACTTTAAAATAGGAATTTGCTTCAATTCCTGTGGCTTTGCATGGCAGGGTGAATTCTGTTGAGATCTATTGTTTCCTGTATTAATTCCAGATACTTAGTACTTAAGAGTCCTGTAGCTCAGTGGTTAGAGCACTCGCCTTGCAAGTGAGAGACCTGGGTTCGATTCCCGACAGGGCGAAACCTTGGGCAAGTTTCCTTACTCCATACGCCTGATAATAATCCCTCAAAGGAAAAAAATAATAAATTGGTCACCCCAATCCAGAACTGTTTGTGGGACACTGCTATGCGTAATTGGATGCTGCAATTCGCCCTCAAATATACAATCAATTCACTTTACAGTAAATTCTGTGAAGCGGTTTGAGACATCTAGAAGACATGAAAAGCGCTATATCAAATGCAAGTATTATTATTATTATACTTGCAAGAATTAACTGTAAGTGTCCTCCGAGCATTTGAACTCTGAATTTCTGCCTTACATGGATAAGGCAAATAAGTAGGATTATTCGGAACCTAATTCAGAGAGAGATGATCAACAATTTATTACACCTTTCAAAGTTCAAAGGTTTAACCATTGTAGTATAAAATGCATCTCTGTGTAGAAGGTTTGGTAGGAAGTGTTAAAACCGTGAGATCGAGTTGCCGGATCACCACAATAGAGAAATTTTTCCGTTATTTATGGAGAGAGTGGTTTGCTGGCTTGTGAGTGCAGTTTACATTCCTCAAAAGCTGCACTGGTACTAAGTACCAGGGGATGCCTTAAGGTTGTGGGTACCTTGTTAGATGGCCTCGCACAACAGTTTCGTGACTATTGGGCAAGGCTGTCCATTGTGGGAGATTGGAACATGTCAAAACCAGAACTTTAAAGCTGAACTGGCTCCAAGATGACCTGTTCGCAACAGAATCCAGCCAACCCTCTGTAGTGGTCTCAGTAATGGAGTCCTATAGCTCAGTGGTTAGAGCACTTGCCTTGCAAGCGAGACACCAGGGTTCAATTCCAGGCAGGGCGAAACCTTGGGCAAGTTTCCTTACTCCACACGCCAAATAATAATCCCTCCAAAACAAAACAATAATAAATTGGTCATTTTCAATCAATGACTGTTTGTGGGACACTGCTGTGTGCAATTGGCTGCCGTGTTTTGCCCACAAATATACAGTCAATTCACTTTACAGCATATTCTGTGAAGCGCTTTGAGACGTTGAGAAGACGTGAAAAGCAAATGCAAGAATTATTATTATTATTATTATTATTATAATGTATTTCCTGAGCCAGAGGCTCAGCAGTATTCCAGGGCACTGCTGATGACTGGCTCATCGGCAGGACTTTGAAGGGCAGACTAGTCACTGGGGGCAAAGACTCTTCCCGCGCAGCTCTAGTTAACCCTGCAAGCCGAAGCCCTAATGGGTAGGGTGGTCCTCTCCGGACAAGCATCTGCAAGCTTACCAGACAGTGCTCTCAATGGTAAACTATGTGGTTTTAACGGGTTAGACTCCAGCAGTACCCCAACACACACTTTGGGGTGTCCCCAAGCCTTGTCTCTTGCCAACCTGCATCTAATACTTTCCAGAATTAGGTAAGCAGAATGTGTCCCTCTTGGGAGAGAGTGTGCAAATATCTCTGGAATGTATTGGTGGGATACATGGGGCTCTGTTTGGTTTGGCTACTCTTAGGCACGGTGATGGGCTTCCGAATGTGTCAGACACCAAGCTGTCCAAAAAAAATTGATGCACTGAATGGCATTTTCATATTCAGTGCTTTTTTATATTAGGTGTTACTCATTATGTTTCAGTGGAGTTTATTTAGAGCCATTTGGGCAAGGGAGGCAGAATTGCAGACTTTTTGTAAGGATTTCTCGCACGTTTTTTTATTGTGTTTCAAATAGATTATGTGGTGTGGGTGGTTGAAAGCAAAGGAGAGGGCATTCTCATTTCTAACCATTTTTGTCAATGATTCACACTAACGAGTGGAACATTAAGGACAATGTGCTCTTCTAGATTTTTTTTCTCCATTAACAAAATTGCACAATAATGTTCTACAAAAGACTCAGTGATACTGAACACCCACCAACTAAGAAGGAACAGTGGAGGAAAACCTACTTGAATTGAGTGTATTTTGTACTGCAACATAAAAATCTTCTTATACAGAAGATTCCCTCACGTTATTAGGCTTTGTAATTCCTCCCAACCAGTTCCCTTGATACTAAGTGTTTAATAAATAATAATAATCCTTGCATTTGATATAGCGCTTTTCACGTCGGGAGGACGTCCCAAAGCGCTTCACAGAACACACTGTAAAGTGAATTGACTGTATATTTGTGGGCGAACGCGGCAGCCAATTGCGCACAGCAATGTCCCACAAACAGTCGTAGATTGAAAATGACCAATTTATTATTGTTTTTGGTTTTGGAGGGATTATTATTAGGCTCTGTGTGGAGTAAGGAAACTTGCCCAAGGTTTCGCCCTGCCTGGAATTGAACTCAGGTCTCTCACTTGTATTGAATACAGCGAGTGCTCTAACCACTGAGCTACAGGACTCTCTGCTGAGGAGTTGCACCCAGTCCACCCACCCCCTCAAAACAAACAAAGCCAGATCTCGCCCACAAATATACAATCAATTCACTTCACAGTATATTCTGTGAAGCGCTTTGAGACGTCTAGAAGACGTGAAAAGTGCTATATCAAATGCAAGGATTATTATCTCCACTCCCCAAGTTGCCATTCGTGATATTATTTTACATAATAGTTGACCTATTGAGAAAACGTAGAAGGTCCCTTTAAGGCAGAAGGCAGCTTAATCTATTGGTTATTGTAAATGCCGAGTGCATCTTTATGTAATTTCAGCTTCAGTCCAGCATTTTGGTAAGTGGCAAACAACAGATGCAAATCCCTGGCACCACTGGTTGAGGAAACAATGGAGTGCCCTCACTTCTCTCATACAGCTCCCGTTGTTCAGCTCATTGCTCACAGCTGGTGTGTAGTCTGTTGTTGCCAGGAAATTGAAAGATGGGGAAGGAATACAGTAAGTTGAAAAAGGAGGTGCATATGTCCCAAAATTATAGACACCTTGATGAGACAACATACCCTGGCTCCCACCCCCAAGATTCTTACCCGTTTACCCTACCTGTTATGTCGTGCTGTTTGAAGGATTCACTGTAGGTATGATACTGATTGGGGCAGTGCTTCTTCAACCATTTGCAAACATCCTGCTGAGTCCACAGAGCCACTGGTTTGCTCAGCTTCACTTGCCCAGGTTGGGACTGGAAAAAGAATGCAATTACGTAAGCAACAACAAAATTACATTTGTATAGTGCCTTTCACGCCGGGAGGACGACCCAAAGCACTGATATGAATGCTTGTGTATTTATTATGCAGCATTAACATTACCTCTTATTTATACAAAAGCACAATCAAATATCTTTTTGTCATTTTTACAAATCTGTGCTTACATATTTCAGGGCATAATTGATCACTAAGTGCATGAAGAGATCAGTTATTACATTATCATATCAAGTTCAGGCTGAAGGCTATAATGATTATACAGTAAACTGATAACTCAACCCTGACTTAACTTCTTACTGCCACTTAAGTCATATTGCTGTCAATATCCTGGCTGCATTGTTTATGTATTTATATATATGCCTAACTTGCCACTCCGGGTAACTTGTCACTGAGCCCTTTTCGCTTGGAGTGACGAGTTCCCAGGACTTTATTGTACTTAATAATAATCCTTGCATTTGATATAGCTCCTTATCACGTCATTTAGACACCTCAAAGCACTTCACAGGATATACTGTAAAGTGATGTGACAATATTTTGTGGGTGAAACTTAGATTTCAGGTAGCTCCTCATTACACTGATGAAGCAAAAAAGACCTTGGTTTAACATCTCATCTGAAGGATATAGGTGACAGGTGAAAATATTCTTCAGGGAGTGCCGAATAACACTCAGGTAAAGGGTCGGCCCCTTGAAGCCAGGTGAGTAGTTGGTTTGACTGATTGGTCCAGAGGCTATTCAGAGGTGAGGACACCTTGACGAACAGCCTGCTGGACCGGAAGTAGCGGGGGCCATGGATAGTTTGGGAAAGGGGCAGGAGAGGGCCTAGGGGTTGGGGCTGCTTGGAGGAATGTCTGTGGTTCTCCTCAGGGCTTACCCCTCCCCCCCTCCAGCTCCCCTTGAAGAGGTGAACTGTGGGTAGATCTGGAGGGTCCTGCCCCCCACTCACCTTTAGCTCAAGTAATGCTGCCTATGCTGAAGGATGGCATCTTTGACAATGCAGTCCCAGTACTGCACTGGAGTGTCAGCCTAGCCTAGGCACCAAGTCTTGAACCTACAACTTTGTGAAACTGCTCACGAATTGAGCCAGGCCGTAATTCATGCAGATGATCAAATGTTTGATAAAATCCATAGGATTCTGTATTCATTGGAGCCATATATATATTATCCTTACATTTGATCTTAGGTTGACAATGCATATGGCAATGCCAGAGAGAAATACCTGAATTTTGCTAAATTACCTTCAGAGTTTAAGGAAAAATTAGAATATTTAATTACTGTACCTTGGGAGGTCCTCCTGACGTGAAAGGCACTATACAAATGTAATGTTGTTGTTATAGCACAGATGAAATATAGATGATTCCCAATAAGGTAATATACATAATGAAAGCAAGCCTAATGGGGTGTCAGTCTTTTCTACATATGCAATCACCTCTCCCATTACTGAGTTAGACAAACCCTCAAGGATTGGTATGAGGCTGAAGAATTTGGGGATGGAGCTCCCAGAGGGTGGAAGCATTGTGGCTGAAAGAGGAGGTGAGTTACATGCAACAAGTATGAATTTGTGGAACAAAGCGAGTGGTGAGGACAGTGGCGCTGGATGAGAGTGCAGAGATAGGGTAGGAAAGGAAAGATCACAGAGGGCTTTGAAGTTTAGCATGAGGATCTTGAAGACAATTCAATGGGAGGATTCCCTGCCCCCCAGTGACTGATTTGCCCTTCTAAGTGCAGAATGGGAACTCTGGAATTATGATTTTCTTTAACACTGCACTTTTACATTGTATAAAAGATCAATGTGGAGAAAAGGCTATCATCGTAGCTTTTTGGTGGTTTGAGGGGTGGGGTAATGTGATGAGGCCCTTTTTGACTTCAAGATCCTCCGACCTGCTTACTAGCAAACCCACTACCTCCACTTGACTGGCTACCAGACCCTACCCTGGTGAAAGGTGTAACATAAATGCAAATTGTTGTTGTTGTTGTTGTCAGTGCCTCAATTTGGCCTAGCGCGCTGGGCTGGAAAAGAGAAAGGACTGTGTGTTGGTGTTTGGGGTAATGTTGTAGTTGCTTTAATTTGGAATGTGGGAGAGGCCCATCATTAGGGACTGCAAAAAAAAGTGAAATCACATCTAGAGGTGTTGAAGCACAGATGAGGGTTTGGACAATGGGAAAAACTAACGTAGGAGCCAATTCTGGTGACGTTCCAGAAGTGGAAAATAAAATGCTGGTCAAAGTCCAGGCGGATGTAGTTTGAAAGAGATCAGATATCTTTTATGCATTTTAATCATAGGTTGCTGCTAAATCATGTCAGTCGTTTTTATGAAACAGGTGGGAAATATTGCTGCAAATACAGCTGCACAATGTTATGACAGAAACATAGATTGGGCCTGTTTGTCAAAAAGATGAAAGTACTATAGCCCATTTTCATTACTGCTGCTGTAGTGGAAATTTGATGCAGAGCGCCATCTAATGGAAATGATACAATTAGAATTCTGCCAACATCAACAGCATCTATCATATCAGGACGAGACGATGTCTCAAAGTACTTCACACATCCGTCTGGGAGCCACAGTTGATTGGGGGGGGGGGGGGGGGGGGGGGGGAGGGAGAGAGAACGGAAAGAAAAGGGAGATAAGAGAAAAGTATTATGGCAGATTTCGAAAGAGAGAGAGGTGGAGTGGCTGAAAGCTCCACAAATAATGGTGGGTGGAGGGTGACGAGAAGCAGGCCAGTGGTTGCCAAGCAGAGGGAGCAGACAGGCAGTGCAGGAGATCAGAGAGGTACAGTGTGGCGAGACTGTGGACTGGATTTGAAAGTGAGCGCAAGAATTTGAAGAATTTAAGTCATTTGAAAGTGAGAACGAGCTGAATTCCTGAGCAGATGGGAAGGCAGTGGAGCTGAGCGAGGATGGGCTCACTTGCAATATCTAGCAGGTTCTTTTAAAATGCTAATCCACATCACAAGTCGTACACATACACGTCTATAAATATCTAAATACTGACTCAGTCAACTAAATAGTGACTAGGGATTGACCTTTGAATAATGCTAGACTAGCACTATTGAATAAACTTGCTGGATAAGTCAATTGTCGGGTGTAGTCTTTATTTAAAAATGAGAAAACATAAGCGTATGTACTACATTGTCAGAAGAACAGTCTTTTGATGGAGATTTTAAACTAAGGTGCCTTCCATTCATTAAAGATTCCACAGCAGCGTTCTTGTAGTGTCCTGGCCAACAATTCTCCAGACGATTTGACCATTCACTGATTGATTGTTTGTGTTCTTGCTCACCCAAACAGTCTTTGTGTTCACCCCCAAAACAGTAAATAAACTGATAGTGTATTTACCAGTATTGGTAATTACCAGTATTGGTGAATACTGATAGTGTTAGACCAGCATTATCCAAAGGTCATTCCATCTTCTCTACTTAGACCTGTGAAGTGATCGAGGATGTTTTGACATAATAAGGCACCATAAAAATGGCAAGTTCTTGCTTTACTTCATGTTGAAAGCAGTTGCCAAAACTAGAAAAGTGGATGGACTTGAAATTGGATGAGATGTCACAAAGGTTACAATGTGAAGGACATGATAAGAGGTGCAGATTGGAACTTGGCAAGTTGAATTGTGATTTCCTTTTAAGACTGCACTTGTAGATTGTCTAAGAGATCAATGGGGAGATGAACAGAAGTGATTGTTGCTGTAATGGGAAACGAGAATTGAATGTAGCACCAAAAAGGGTAAAATATAATAGCAATACAATACCCTGTTTCTCTTGCACACTCAGAGTAAAATACCACAACCTACTTGCTTTGCATTATTTGATATCACTAGTGCAAAGCAAGGAGGAAGTGGTATTTTGATATCAAACAGCATTTACATCACTGTATTAACAAATGGTAGGATGTAATCAAGTGCTCAAAATATCTTTTTGAGAATAGCACCATCAAGTGCACGATTTTCTTCCTGCAGCTTCCATATATTATAGATTTTTTTTTAAAAATGCTCCATTTTTAAAATGAACTTGGCTTCTCAAATAGCTATTAGGTCATTCTGTCAACATATTTAAGAAAAAAAATCACTGCACATGAGGAGAAAGAGAATAGGGTGATGAAAGAGAGGGAGGGGAGAGGTAACTGCAGGCACAGCTGAATAGATAGATTTTTAGGTGGGTACAATAACAACATTACATTTGTATAGTTCCTTTCACGTCGGGAGGTATTTAAAGATAGATAGGTGGGGGGGAAACTAAACAGAGGGTTAGAGGAAGAAAGACCCAGAGGTTGGGGGCTCAGTTGCTGAAAGTTTTGATGTGGGTTGCAGAGGATGGCAGCCTGAATTTGCTGAGTGGAAGGGGTGGTGTAGGAGACCATCACAGTAATAGGGCAATGCTAATGCACAAAGGAATTTATAGACTAGGGTGATGTCGACCTTGAAGTTAATCCCTTGGGAGGCGTGGAAAAAATACTTTTCCTTCCCCAAATTTTATTATCAAAGCATATTCTCTAAGGTTTGCAGACACCACTCATCTCGACAGCGTCTGCCGAGACCTGATTACAGGCCTTGGCTTGTCGAATATTTAACATGAGTGCATAGGTGATGGAGGGTTGACCTGCCCTCTCATTTTGCTTAACTCTAATATGGCCTGCAATAAATCCACTAGCCAGCCAGACAGGCCACACAAGAGATCGGGAATTAACTGGGAATACAAACATTGCTCTCCACTCGGGGAGAGCAATCAGGACAGAGCGGAGGCTGAGGTAAGCACTCGATCACTTGGGGAGAGCAATCAGGACAGAGCGGAGGCGGAGGTAAGCACTCGGTCACTCGGGGAGAGCAATCAGGACAGAGCAGAAGTAAACTGTCTCTGAACTGTCAGAGCGACGAAAAAAAAGAAAAAGTGACGTAGGTGTGACGTCATTTTTCAACAGCCGAACCAGGGACAAATATCAACAAACTGTCAGAAACCACAACACTGACGGCAAATTAAA